ACTTCCACTTTTGTCTCTGGATTATCTGCTTGAACACATTCCTCTTTAAAAACAGTTTACTGATGATTGTAAAACATTAATTTATTAATTTATGTTAATTGATTATATTACTCTATCACTAAAGAAAAACAGTATTTTCTAGGCTCATCTTACCCTTCTGCTTGTAGAATTCCCTACCTTTCCACTTTCTGTTGGTAAGAATTATTGCCTTTTTTAAAAAATAGAAATGTCACATTTTATCTTCTAATCGTTTTTTAAAATTAGCTTGTTTCTAAAATTTTTACTGTTAAAACAGCTCCTTTTCCCCACTTTAATTCCTAGTACATCAATTGCATATAATCCTTCCTCTTTGATATTTATTTTTATTCAAATTTAGTATCTATTTTAGAATGCTGATAACATATGCAAAATGAAGTTTATTGCATTTACTAAGTGCCAGGACTGAGAATATAGTGGTGAATCAGACACAACCTTGCCCCCTAAAGTTCACAAAACAGGTAGATTTAGCGCAGATCTCTTCCTCTTGGTAGTTGGTTCTGTGGTCTTATATCTCTTGTCTTCCTTTCCATTATACCTGTTGCTTTCTGTCTTTGAAACTATATATGCCTTTTGACTAGATCTCATGTTGGGAAACTACATCTCTCTTCTTCTCCCTAGTAATTACTTGTTTTTTAACACCTCTTCCTTTCATACTTCTTTTTATTCACTGACCTATTCTCAGTTCCATTTTGCTTATTCTCCAGGCTTGTATTTGAGAGAATTACTTGTTTTTAATTTACCTTCAGGAGCTGCTTCATCTATCTTCTACACCTGGCATGATACTCCACCAGGAAACGCTCCTCTTAGCTGGCTTCTACCTTGACCGCAACTTTCAGTAATAATTTATCTTTTTCTTTGACTTACTCTTTTTTGTCTTTCCCCCAATTATTATATTATTTTAATTTTTTTTATTTAATCCTCACCCAAGGATATTCTTCCCGTTGCTTTTCAGAGAGAGTGGAAGGCGGGGAGAGAAATATGGATGTGAGAGACACACCAATTAGTTGCCTCCTGCACGCCCCCTGACCGGGGCTGGAGATTGAGCCTGCAACCCAGGTACATGCCCTTGGCCAAATCAAACCCAGGACCCTTCAGTCCATAGGCGGATGCTCTAACCACTGACCAAAACCAGCTAGGGCTTTAATTTTTTTCTTTTTTAAAAAAAATATATTTTTATTGATTTCAGAGAGAGGAAGGAAGGAAGAGAGAGAGAGACAGAGAGAGAGAGAGAAAAACATCAATGGTGAGAGAGAGTCATTGATCAGCTGCCTCCTGCACACCCCCCGCTGGGGACCGAGCCTGCAACCGGGCCTGTGCTCTGACCGGGAATTGAACCTTGATCTCCTGGATTGTAGGTCTATGCTCAACTGCTGAGCCACACCTGGCTGGGCTTTAATTTTTTTCTTGAATTCCTTTCATCCACTTAAGTTTGCTTAGTGAAAGAATCTCTTTGAATATGGAATTAATGGCATATTTAAAATGGACAGAAAGAAAAAAGAAAATACACAGAACTTTGAAAGTTGTAAAAGTTTTGTTAGAGTAGAATCATGTACCTCAAATATCAGAGGTAGTTAAGTGCCCTAGAGAAGTCTTCTTCCTTCCAGAATGCGCCCAATGAGTTCAAAGACTGTGGCTTCGGTTGACCACAGATCAAGTAGGACCCAGCTAATGACCTCCATTCAGAAACTGACTGCTGAATATTGTCAGACAGACTCAGTCATATCCTTTCTCCAGGATGATCATTCATGAAGCCTGAAACCATTCTCCAAGAGTATCTGGCATCTCTTAAAAAAAAAAAAAAAGGCCAAGAAAACAAGTGTTAAGCCTTCTTTGAATTATTAGTACCTTTTCTCCTGGGAGTCTAGCTGTGTACATTGGATTAAGAACATGTAGTTGTTTTTGCTAGGTATTCAACAGAAGAAAAGCTCGCTTTGGTTTCTAGAAAGAATCATCTCCACTTTTGGCATTTCCGTTTGTGCTCATCTCAGAGGCTTCGGGGCTTCATAGAATGCCTCATGACTGTTGCTTTATTTGGGGGAAGGTACAAGTTGAATCAGGAACCAGGGGCTCACCGTCTGGTCATTTATATTCTACTCAAACCATCTACCCTCGTCCATGAGAGCGCCCTTCCTTCCGCTCTCATAGTCTAATTAGAAATTAAACAGTGATCTCTCTGAAGGAGTTCTCAGGCATATTATGGGGCTAGTGGGACCCGTGGAACACTATAATCCTTTTTACCAGTGGCAGCATTTCTTGGAAATATTCTACCCAGTCCCACCTGCACAGTATTTTGTTGTCTTTCCATGTTCTGATTGCATCAGACTTTATTTTGTGAACTTGGTTTCATGCCAGGAATACTTCAGACTAGCTGTCCCTACCACTCTTTACTATCCTCTTTGTCATCTGTAGTCTCTGTGTGATTGGTAATCTCTTGTGATTTTACTGCCACCTTTAGAGAAATAAGGTCTGCTCATCCATAACCTTATTCCTTCCAAAGCTTTCTGTCTCTAGATCAGTGCTGTCCATGAGTTTCTGCAATAATGGAAGTGTTTTTTATCTGTGCTACCCAATAATACATTTGCCACTAGCTATGTGTACCTGCTAAGCACTTGAAATGTGGCTAATGTGACTGAGGAAACTGTAAAATTTTAATTTTAATTGCCACGTGTGACCAGTGACTACCATCTTGGATAGTGCTGCTGTAGATCATCCCAGCTGGTCTACTAGTTCCTCTTATATGGACAGTTTGTTTCTTTGGGTGTTTTTATACCACACTGGGCTGTGCTTTTAACATGTGTTTTGTTCTGCCAGCAGTGGGATATAGAACTGTTTCTAAGAGGAGAATCTTTTTTTCTAATAGACCATTTTATTTGTTTTTTAAAAGGTTTTTTAAAATGATTTTTGAGAGAGAAGACAGGAGAGGGAGGGGGAGAGAGAAACATCGATGTGAGAGCGCAACATGTTCGATCAGCCGGAAATTGAACCAACAACCTTACAGTGCACAGTGCATGTGACTACGACCAACTAACTGAGCCCTCTGGCAAGGGCTAAGAGGATCTTCTTGAAGGGGGATGGGACTACTTAGTTTCCTTGTGATCAGCTATCTAGATCTCTGGAGGGGCAGCTTTTGGGAAGGTGCTTATTATTAGCAACTCCACACCTGGAAATCTTAGTAAGCAGAATAGATATTTTATGATAACATAGTTTCTGAATAAAGATGCTTTTCCAGGGGAGGAGCTTTACTTTATGAAAAAGCGAATCAGAAGGTTTTTTCCCCTCCCAAACGCATCACTTGTCATCCTTTTTATACTCTTATGTCATACTCTTGCACTCTGGCATCTAAAATGCTACAAAAATGCCTCAGAGTCATTCCCTTTTTTTTTTTTTTTT